TTAATTGTTAATTCGAGTTCATCATGTACATTTGCACAGAATTATGATGATTTGGGAAAAATTTTAAGGGATATTAGCGCTCGGGAAACAAAGCCAAAATTTACCAGAAATTTAAATGAAAACATTCAAGACTTATTCTAAAATTAATGTAAATTTTTTTTAAAACATTTATTTTAGAAAATCGTAAATTTTTCTTTTTTTTTTTTTTTACATCTGTTACCCCCTGCCACACATTTAATTTTTATGAAATTTCGAGAAATTTTTGTATCGATTAATGTTGTCTTCAACTAAAAAATATAAAGAATTATAAAATTCCTTCGAGAATTTCATCAAATTTTTTTTTGTCAAATCGGACCACAGTAGTGGTAAGATTTCTACTGACTTTGAATCCTAGAATAAAAAAATGCAATAAAAAGGTAAAACTAGGACATTTTTAATTACTTTTTTAAAAAAATAATGTGAACTATAAGAATTTTTTTCTTGATGAGTAATGAATTTTTACAAGAGTTTTCAATTTTTCAAAAAATATGAATTAATTAGAATAGTTTCTAAACTTTTAAAATTCTGTATTAACTTATAACAGTCAAGTGATATTTTTATTAACTTAAATTTGTAATTACTAATCATAAATGTAAAAACTGATATTTTAAAAAGAATTTTGAAATTTTTTTGTGCATGTCGAAACATCGATTTTTGTAAATACAGACATAATCAGAAAATAAGAGAGTTACCTATAATAAATTAAAAATTTATTGGTAATTTTCTTGCATCTTAGTAAAGTCAATAAAGCCAAAGTACCTAAAATTCAATAAAATGTTTAGAATATTTTCTTAATTTTTAAAGAAAAAAATTATACAAAATAGTTGAAAAAATGATATAAGAAAGGCATTCACGTATTTGTCAAGTAATTTTTTTAATTGTGTCCTCCTTATTTAAATTTCTCAAACAGGCTGTCAATAAATCACTCAACAAACAGTCAGAAAAGACCTGCCTGTGTTAAAAATGCTTTTCTGCAATGTTTTAAACTAAAAGTAAATATTTCAATTTTTAATAAAGAGAATTATATTGTCTTGACATATTTGTCACTGTGGCCATTGATTTTACTGATAAGTAGAAAAAAAGAAGATTCCAATTTAAATTTGGTTTGAAATACACCAAAGTATTTTGCTTATCGGTAATATTAAATTTAATCTCTTAGTTTGGAAAAAACTAAAAGCTTCAAGAAATTTTCATTTTTTAAAATGCATTTTAAACCTAGGTGTATCATCAATAATCACTGATGAGTTACACACCTTGTTTTTGTTGTTATTATTTTGAGTCCCTGAGAGAGGGAGTGTCGCTTGGGGCAGTTTTTGAATAAAATGAGTGAAATGACTACTATGGTTTTCATGTTGCTCTTTCTGTCATTACTAAATTAGTTGCAACACTCGTGTATGAAACACTAGCTATTGCTTTTTTTGGAGTTACCTATAACGTAATATAATATCTAAAATTACTGATTCTACCATGTGTATAGGATAAAATTATATTCTTAAACTTGGTTACATAAGGTAATTTATCTTTCAACATAAATACCAATTTCTTAATTATTGCATTTGGTATTCTGTATTTCTTTGCTTTTTATTTTTACTTTTTTGCATGTTTTGTAAGTTGGGTGAAATTATAGTTTCTGTTTTTGATCTATGACATTGCAGGCTGCCATGTGTAAATAGACATTATTTTCATGTTTCAGTAAAAAGTAAACATTAATTTTACAAAATTCAGTTAATTCATCCTTAAATCCATCTCTATAACAAACATTGGATCTGTAAGAGATTTTTAAATTTGCTGTTTGATTTTCGTCTATAATGGTGATTCAATGAGTGAATTTGCAAAATGCCTAAAACTTTATTTACATACAGAAAGTAATTTTTCTTTTATTAATATGGATTAGCTTTAGGCTATTATATATTAGATAAAACCAAAATTTAAATCCAAAGAAGACTTAAATTATTTAAAATTTTTTTTTTTTTTTTTTTTTTTTTGGAAGTCTGTGGTGGTACCTTGTTTTCAGGTTGTGATTTTGGAAAATACAAGCGTAATTTATGGGTGGTAATGATCAACTTTGAATTGTATTTGGCATTACTGAGTAGTGATTTTTCCAGATCCTGTTCATAATATAGTGTCAAATCAATCTCTGATTTTTTAGAGTTATCTTTATCTTGTTTTTATTTACAAATGTCAGATTTAGAACATTATTGATAACTGCATACTACTGATATGGTCCTTTTTTACAATCAGGAATTTTCCTCATTTTTTATGTAAATTTTTGCAAAACAGATTTCTTCATTTTGGCTTTATTATGACGGCAGCTGCACAAACATTCTAAAAATCAATATCTTTTTTATTCTGACAATCATTGTGATTAGAGGAAGATTTAATAAATATAAATCAGCAAAAATTAGTCACAAAAATCTTTTCCCAACTTTTTTATGAGTGGGCTATTTTCCCTTAGTAGTGACTGTATTTTAATGCTAATAGACAATGACAAATATTTTTTGGTGAAAATGGAGGATTAAAAATAATTCACTGTAAGGCAGAAGAGCAGTCTAACAGTTTTATGGAACTACTAGGCAAAATATAAAATACTGAAGATTTATATGACCCCAAAAAAAATGTGTAGTGAAAGAAGTTGCTTGATATTAATTAATACAGGAGAATTAAAGATTCTGTGGCACCTAATGAGGAAAGAGGGCTTATAGAATTTACATCTCACAATACATATTAAAACAAGTGAAGCAGAATAGAACAAGTCACCTACTTACCAAGTTTGTATGAATAAATGACAGAACAAGGACTAAAAGGATCGGTACAAGCAACAAAAACCTGGATGTTTTGGAGAACAATGATCACCAACACACTGAATCAGCAAAAATGCACAATAATGGCCCCCTTGTGACACATGACATCTTTCTTTTCTAAATAAATATTCACGCATATACTCTCATTGACAAATTCTGTATCTTTTAAAAACTCTTTGAGATGGAGTCAGGTATTCTCAGTATTTGAGTATGTACTCAATGTTAACACAAATTTTGATGAAACATGAACCAGTCTACAATTGTATTGTTTGAGTAATTGTAGTCAGATAGTATCAGAAGTATAACGAGAGATATATAGAAGAAAGATTTATTCTCCCATTTGTATTTCCCCCATTATGAGCATTATTATTATCTGTGATTTAATAACACAATACTTCTTGGATGGAAAAGAAAAAGAATGACAAACATGCTTTGTTTACATGTGTCTTATGCAGGGGATAAAATTTCATATATCTACACAGTGAGCAGTGTGTAAGGAGGAACAAAAAGGAAAGGTTTTACATATAATATGGAAATTCTTGTGTCCTTCTGGAGAACCCATGTTTAGGACTCAAGATTCAAACTGTTGGATTCATTTACTATGTCCCAGGCAAGGACATATTCCATGAGGGGAAACAGCAATTCTTGGGTTTTCCCAAATTAAAGACTGTGAGCTGAAATCACAAGCCCGTTGTTTTGCAGAAAGAGGATTTTTAGTAGTTTTTAATAATACTGAATAAAATTCCTATTTATCAATTAGTAAAACAATATCAAAGTATCTATTTTTTATAAATCTTATTTCTCACAAATCCACATTGCTTACTTTCCATTCCACAGTCAATTTTTTTTATATAAGTGTTCCATTTATTTATTTTTTGTTAACACATTTTTACCTAGTGTTTCCATAAATCCTTCATTATATATTTTAGTTTTGTCATTTTAGTTCTGATGTCTTCAACTTTACCTATTTTTAAAATGATTTTTTAAAAAGTTTTTATTTTTTTTGTTGCTATGGCAATGATAACTGCTTACTTGAAAAAGAACTTTTAAAAAGTTAATGCTTTGTCATTATTACATTGGCCATATTTTATTACTTAAAAAACGTCAGTTATTCTTTCACTAAATTATAGCCGTATTAGTAATTAGTCATAATCACAATTAATATATTGTAGTAAACAACCTTATAATAATGATATATAAATTTAAGACTGCAATTTCATTACATTTTTATAATAGATTTATGTGTGTGTAATTAAATTTTTGTAAATGCATCTTTTCATATTTAACAGTCTTATTATTTGCAATGTTTGTAGAAATGGACATGCATATGATATGGAGAAAGTTCAATCATTTATTTAAAAAGTTTTACTAATCAAGTTTACATGTGAAAAGGAAGTACAAGAACACTGACTTAGAGAAGCTATCATGTAGTTTCAGTTATTCATGTGTCTTTGGAACTCTAGCTATTTTACAAAGTAGGGTAAAGGGAGTTGTTTTTTTGGTGTAGTTTTGGTGTGGCATTTTGAATTGATTGACTATGACCTGTTGCAAAGCCTCATGTCTGTTTTCAGGAGACATAAACTTGAATGATTTTCAATTTGCTCAGATGAAAATCAATTGGTTGAAAACTGTCTTTTTATACTTTGTGATCTGTTTTCTGTTATGTCTGCAAATTTTAATCTTATTTTATTTTTGGTGGATATTTTCCCTTGAAGTTTGTGTATGTTGTGTATCTTTAGCTTTTTCACATGTTTCTAAAATCTTTACATACAAGCTATTTTAATTATTATATTTTGAAGATTACTAAAAATTTATATAAATTTTATTTCAAATAAAACTAAATACTAATAATATCTTAACAGCAATAAAAAATAAAACTAAACTTTTGAAAGAGCCATTATTTTCTAAAAGAAAACAAATTATGAGAGAATAAATAAAATAATATAAAGTAGAAAAGTATATACAAGAAATATTTGTAATTTTTACTTACTCTCAATTGCTAGGAGGATGGTTTCAAACCAAAACTGAAAAATTCCTAAAAGAAAAAATAAGCCTCTCTTATCCACTTCAATTATGCTTGTAAGAGCATTTTTTCTTTTGGTGTTTTGTAAATTTTTTTCTCTATTAAAAGACTTTTTTTCTTTTTTTTTTTTTTTTCAGAGACATACATTTCTTCTCTAAACTTAGCACATATACAAATTCACATCTACAAGAAATCCTACTGAATTTTGATCTAACTTATCCAGAAACGGATTCTGCATTTTTGAGACTTTATTTTGATAAGTTGTCCAGACAAGGAATCTTTCCTTCACCGTCCAGAATGAGTATAGCAAGTAAGTAATATTTATATTCGACTGCTTCATCATCATTTAAATAATTAAAATTTTAATGTAAGAAGTTTTATACTATATAAACCCTTTTCAATTACAAACATTAAAATAACTCTAAATGCACCACAAAACTAAGCTTATATGGATTCTGATGAATACAGTGCATAGCAGAATTTGACTGAAATCAGGCAAGAACAGTGTGGCTTTGTTAAAGACTGAGTTCAGAAATGTAATCTTTATGATCACAATGTTATCAAAATGAGCAATAAAAATGTAGAAAGGTACATACTTATGTTCCATAGACTATTTGAAAGCATTTAATAAGGTATGATGCATAGATCTAGTTGAACATCTAGGAAAACTTTAGAATTTGACATTCACAGAATATACTGAAGGCAAGAGGGGCAGAGGAAAACATTAAATGACCCCACCTAACTAGCTAATAAGTATGGATATAGAAAACATAGAACCAAGAAGTAGCCCGCAATGAAATAAGGAGGAGTTTGGAAGAACACAGAGTGGGAGTGATAGTAAGGAGATAAACATTACTTAGAGCTACAAAGGATAGGAAATTGTAAAGAGCCGTGATCACCCACATTCTGAAGGGACACAGTACAAAAGAGAAAAAAATTAAAATTGTTATATCCATTTCCCTTGCTGCATGCTTCTGACATCAATTGTTATAACAAGCGTTTGGTTTCAAAGGAAAGGAACAAAAAGGATTAAGATTTCAACAATGAATATTAATCAAAATTCAGATTATGGACAGATGTATGAAAGTAGGCAAAAAATTGATCATATGTGTTTTGTTAGTTGCCATTAGTAAAGAAAGTGATTTGGCATAAGGGTGTTGTTGGTAGGGCCAATTTCTTGGTTTGGTTGGCTGAGGTCACAGTTGGGTTCAGAAGATACATCTGGAGCTGATAAGCTGTTGGCATGCTGTTCTTTAAGGTTGAAATCAACACCTGTGTCTGCTAAGGTTGCTTGGTCGTGCAAAGTCATGGTGGTGGGTTGATTCATGGTAAGGTGCATTGGTTGCCAAGGTTTTTGCAGTGTCAATGAGGGATTAGATATAGATAGTGAATTAGAGATCAATGAATAGGGTCACAGTGGTGATGATGAGGAAGGCCTGGTATGAGTTGAGTGGGATGTTTCTGTTGGATTCTGGTTGAATGTATCAATGAGACGTGGTTATGGTGGTGACATCAAGGTGGTGCCTGGAGGGACAGAAAAGTGTGCTTGTGTGCTGACAGGTGGCCTTTCAGCCTGCAACTGTGCTGGTTGTTACAAGGGGCTTTCTTTTAAGCAAATCTGGTAATCTCCAGAGTTATCTTTTTTCCACTGGAAACATTTGTGAGTGGCTATTGTATTAATTTTACTGTGAGGATTTGTCATATGGGCCAAATGGGATGCTTGGGGCCCATGCACAGAAAATGACTTTTTTATGTTGTGTTTTGCTTTCTTGGCACTCACATCTGGCCACCATGTAGAATGAATCAGAAAGAGATCTTTTTGCAGCAGAGTATAACAAAATGTTATACAGGAAATAATTTAATGAAATTTGGATCATTTAATTTCATTTTTTTCTAAAACAATATATGATTGACAATTTTTATTTTGGTCAGGGTTGTACAAAATATTTTCTTTTTAATATATACACAATGTTTTGTTTAAATATATTCATGCTATAAACATATCTATTTTTGTCTCACTCCAGTGAAAAAAGGGGATTTATGCAAAGGAAAAAGAAAATCTATTTTTAATAAAATGCCTCTGTAATGCTTTTAAAATTTCATGAAAAATTATGAGTACATACATGTATATAAACATGTAAAACCAGAAACATTTTATGTGTTGCTCTGTTTATATTAATATGTATTTAAATTTAATTTATGGATTATATGCTTCAATCTTTTCTTGCTTCTTTGAAGACACAAGTCTCCATGGAAAAGTTGTTATTGTAACTGGTGCTTCCAGTGGAATTGGTGCAGCAATTGCTGAAGCTTTAATCAAAGCTGGTGCCAATGTAGCTTTAGCTGCACGAAGAATTGATAAACTGAAGGATTTATGCAAAAAATTGGAAGAGGATGGTTCTGGACTTGCAATTGCTGTGAAAACTGATGTGACTAACAAAGAAGATGTAAGTTTTCCTTTTAATCTTACTTTGTTTTTTAACTTTTTTCATTCTTTTATTATAATTCTATTACAATTTGCTGTTGTTTTGGCTGCTGTTGCAAAAATAGGATCTGTCATATATGACAGGCTCACATAAACATCAATTTCAAAGAAAACAGATTGATTGGAAATTTGTTTTGGAAGAGAAAGTTCTGTTAACTTGAGTTCTGTGTTTGTTTTTCATTGGCCAGGTAGTCCATATGTGTTTTGTTTTATGGTATTAGTGTATGTATATCTAAATTCTAGTGGGTATTTTTGTGTCAGTCTGGTTGTGTCTATGTGTTTAATTCCTGAAGATGGTAGTGAGATGATGAAGTACCTGGATGTTTGTGTATCATATTTCTAGTTGGTCTTGTGGGAGTAGGTTGTGTTGGTATGTATGTTGATTGGGGATGTTCCATGTGTGTTCAAGTGAAAGACTTAGGTTACATTGATTGCAGGTATTGGATTTTAAGTATGGGTTTTATGATAGTTGGTAATATGAAAAAGTGTCTAGTGTGTGTTTATCGATGGGAAGATATTAATTAATATGCCTCTTAAATATTTTCTTTGTAGATTTTAATCCACTATTTTATCCCAATTAATATATAAATAGCACACAGAGGGTGCTGGTGTTAATAAAATTGTTCTCAATGTATTGTCTGTTTTCAATTTGCAGCTGATGATTGTCTCATGCATGAAACTCAGAGTTGCACTAATAGTTAAGAACAAAATAAATATATGCGTATGTGTGTGTATGTACTCCACCTGTAACATACTTATAAAAAATATGACTATAATAGCCTCAGCCACATGTATAAAAAGGCTAAAAATAATGGAAGCATTAATAATAAAAAAGAAAATGTCAACACTCAATAATATCAACTTTGAATAAGGACACAATGTGCTGACTATGTTTGGAAAATAAAAAAAAACATGTAGATGCATATATATATATATATATATATATAAGTCTACATATTCAGTTAAAAATAAACAAAACATCCTTAATGCCTAATAGAATAGCTGAAAGCACTTGGATATATAGAACATTCAAACAGGTTTTTTAAACACTTTATGTCCAAAAAAGAAAACACATGTATGAAAACAAGGAAAATTGAATAAAAAGTTTAATCGCATTACCTTGCTTGTCAATCACCTTTAATAGATGAAGACTTCCTCTCTAAATTCAAATTCCAGCACTTGACAATTGCTTTGGCATGAAACTTGGAGTTGTGCAATTGACATAAAGTATTATGTATATTTCTTAATATGTATATTAAATATCTCTGTTATTTAACATTGAGCGCTCTTTTTTCTTACACTAGATTATTTATATGTATTTGTATATGATCACTTGCTTGTATACCTACCTACATTTACCTATTCAGTTATGTCTATATATCTATATATATATATATATATAATATTATTTACGATTCCAATGGAATAAATTATGACCATGGAATATTAGTGTTTAAGCTTTTTTTATTATATATATATATATATATATATATATATATATATATATATATATATATAGTTTAAAAATCAGGAGGTCAATTAAAATATGACCATGGTCTCATCGGGCAATACTTTTAAAATGACCACTTTAATGTTTTATTAAAAAAAAAAACACACACAAAGAATGCTGCATAATTATCTTTAAAAAATAACATGAATAGGATGATTGAAAGAGAGGACATTAGGTGTAATGGGAAGGGAAGTTGAAAAGGAGGAAAGAAGAGAAAGGGACAGGAATGCAAGTGTATTGAAAATGTATACATTGAAAAGGAAATCAAATATGTAACTTAATTGTTATAGAGGATGGGCCATCACCCACCCACCTCCTGGTGTGTCTAAAGGGTAACAGTATTTTTTTTTTATTTTAGATTTTTTTACCCGGCTTCATATTCACTTATTAAAAATTGTTTTATTGAACAAGGGCTCAAAATTTCTGAGTTTCAGTTTTAAAGATTTTTTTTTTGCAAGAAGAGTTTTTGGATAACCTAGAATAATTAAAGTTGACAAAACAAAAAATATTTATGATATGAACCCAGAAACTTACAGGAAAAAATGAATAAAGAGGTAACTAAAACTTACAAAAAAAGCACTGAATTTATACATTAAAAATTTAAATGATGATGTAAAAAAACATCACTACCAAACTAAGTATAAGTAACAGGGTCCATGTAATTGAATGTAAGGAAGCTTTTCTTACCATAAAGGACCACAAGGAAGAATTCCTTAACAATCCTTCTTTTCGCCTCATAAATCCTACTAAAACTGATCTGAGTAAAATAAGCCAAGAAATTTTTAAAAGAATATGCGGTTCATTAAGAATTGCTATGCAAGCAAATCAATGGAAGGATACAAGTGAGTTTATTTCTTGGTTCCATAAAGTCATCAATAAAAATAAACATATGGAGAGAGAAGGGAGATCACCGCCCCCTGTGGGATCATGTTCAGATCATAGACAGGGAACACCATTGGAAAATTCGTAAACTTAAGGAATCAGCACATATGCTAGGCCACAAAAATCTCCTGAGCCGACCAAGCATAGAAATAAATACAATATGGGAACCTAATATAGAGTGCCAGAGAAAAGCAATGATAACAAAGTTGCAATATGAACTCTGGTAAAGACATGCAATGATAACAGCAAAAATTGCAATATGAGCACTGGTAAAAATGATGCTGAAAACATTAGGTTTATAATACTCAGAAGTTCATACCCAGATGTCCTCAAGGACACATGGCACAGTGGATAAAGGCGTTGGTTAGATCCAGTGACAGACCCAAATTCCTGGTTAAGGCAGTGGAGAACTTTCAGAGGGAAAATTAGCAGGAGATAACTGATAACTGACATCCATCAAAAACATGGCACGTGGAATTAGAACAGTCTACCCCAGTGATCGAAATAAAGGGTTCAGTTCGAAATTCCAACCACCTGAAGAAGGCTGGAGCGTACAACGGCCGAAACGTTGTGACAAATATGGCGACAAAGATGAGGACAGTAGTCCGACTAATGTAAATACTAAAAATAAACATGTATTCATAAAATATGACATTAAGAACTTCTTTCAATCTATATCAGAAAAATGTTTACTGGAGGTTCTGTATTTTACCAAAGGCTTTGTAGAAATAACACCAGACCGAATGGAAATAATTTTACATTGCTGTAAATTTTGTTCCACAACAGAACAACCCAGATTAAAAAAATTGAAAAAAAGTGGATTTGACGTACCACAAGGTTCCTTTGATGGCACTGAAATTTCTAAATAGGTCTGCATATTTTATATGAAATCAACAAGATCATCCATATAAACAACCACAATCTATATAGAGATGATGGCCTAATGATAGCACCAAACAAAAATAGAACTAATGACACTATTAGAAAAGTGCTTTTTAAGATCTTTAAAAAACTCGGCTTTGAAATAGAAGTCAACATAAATAAAAAAAATCATTAACTATCTGGACATTGAATTAAACCTTCTCACTGGCAGTGTCTCCCTGTACATAAAACCTAATGCAAAATTAAGATATGTAAATATTAAATCCAACAACTCCCACAAGTATAATTAAACATATCCCCAATGGAATAGTCTAGGCTATCCAAAAACTCTTCTTGTAAGACAATTTTCGAGGAAAAAAAGAAAGAATATAAGATAAACTTAAAGGCAGAGGGCCACAAAGCAAAGCTAGAATTTAAACACATTATACACCATATGAAAGCCACAAGTAACAAATATAAATTAAAACATATATAGGCTTTGTACATCAGGTTATACAGCAAATTGACTGATATGGCCTGCTATTTTAGCCAGTTGGAGGTACTTGTAATTTGGAAAATGTTGTATATGAAGGTACCATTTTCCCCGAAAGAAAACATCATTGACAAAAAAACATACATAGGGATGTTTGTTGGAAATTGGAAACACAGACTATACAGTCACTGACATTTTTTCTTCAATGCTTCCTTGAAACACCAAACTGCCCTATCCAAACATTATTGGAAGATTAAAAATAGTGGTTTCACTCCACTAACCAAATGGGAAATCATCTGCCAGTCTCAAACCCCCAACAACTTCCAGGACAGATGCGGTCTGTGTATACAAGAAAAAATTGCAATAATCAAATACAGAAATGCTAACCAGTTGTTAAATCAAAGGAATGGACTGATTTTCAAGTGTAGACATAAGAACAAATTTAAATTTCCCTAAAAACGTTGTTTTTTTGGTGGGGAATGCACACTTAAAGTGTTAATTCATTTATGTGGTGATAGCACATATGGGTGTACATATGTATGTGTATGTATATGTGTGTGTGCGTGTGTGTGTGGATGTGTGTTTATATTGTGTATCACATGGTTTTGTGTTTCTTGTAGTTGGATCTATGACTGTCCTGCCGATGTATACAACATTTATAATTCTAAATTCAACATCTTGTGTATTATTATTTTTACTTTTTAATTATTTATCTGTATTTAAAATCCCTTTATGTTTGATATTATTATTGTAATTTTTATTTATTATTTGTATTAAGGGCCCTTTTATTAGACTAACTAATTTGGAAATGTGTTGATTTGTCCTGCCTAAAATAATAGGCCATATTGGTCAATTTACTGTATAACCCAATGTACAAAGTTCCACACTTTAGGAAAAAAAATTATGGCTGGATCAGTTTATTTTAGGCTTACTACTAGCCATTCAACTCTTCCTTCTTCCCTTTCCTTTCCTTACCTTCTCTCTATCCCACTTTTTTAAAAGAACTTGACCATCCATCACTTTCCTTCTTCTTCTCTTTCTTTCTTCTCTTCTCTCCTGCTTTCACTTCCCCTGTCAATCTAATATATCAGTCTGGGGAATTGTTTCCATTTAATAAAAGATTTTTATATTGTGTATCACATGGTTTTGTGTTTCTTGTAGTTGGATCTATGACTGTCCTGCCGATGTATACAACATTTATAATTCTAAATTCAACATCTTGTGTATTATTATTTTTACTTTTTAATTATTTATCTGTATTTAAAATCCCTTTATGTTTGATATTATTATTGTAATTTTTATTTATTATTTGTATTAAGGGCCCTTTTATTAGACTAACTAATTTGGAAATGTGTTGATTTGTCCTGCCTAAAATAATAGGCCATATTGGTCAATTTACTGTATAACCCAATGTACAAAGTTCCACACTTTAAGGAAAAAAATTATGGCTGGATCAGTTTATTTTAGGCTTACTACTAGCCATTCAACTCTTCCTTCTTCCCTTTCCTTTCCTTACCTTCTCTCTATCCCACTTTTTTAAAAGAACTTGACCATCCATCACTTTCCTTCTTCTTCTCTTTCTTTCTTCTCTTCTCTCCTGCTTTCACTTCCCCTGTCAATCTAATATATCAGTCTGGGGAATTGTTTCCATTTAATAAAAGATTTTGGTTTGAAGAGATGACTATATAGATATTCACAGAATAAATTATAACCAAAATGAATCATTAAAGTTTTCTTCTTGTTTATATATATATACCCAAGTATAGGATTAGTGTATACGGAATGAATTCCAATAACCAACAAATACTATTCTTAAAAGAGTACTCAATACAGAGTAGAGCAAATATAATTATTTATTAGAAAATTATAACATAAATATATTATAAAATCTCCACAAAAATAGCCATTTGCTTCAACACTTCTGGTGTCTTATCAAGTGATGGTGTTGAATGTCTGAAGTGTTGAAACAAAATGGCTATTTTTGTGGTGATTTTATAATAAATTTATGTTATAATTTTTGAATAAATAATTATATATATATATATATATATATATATATATGTGTGTGCATATAAACACATACACGTGTACCTGTGTGTGTGAAAAGCTATAAATAATACATTTAACTGAACATCTGATTTTAAAGGTCAGAATGAAAAACAAAACTAAGGAAAATGCATTGGGATCTCTGAGGACAAGAGTGGCCATAAATTAAATTTCTGGTCATCACATCATATAAGATAATTTAATTTATGCTCTCACCATCTTCACTTTTGTTTCAAATACTATTTTACATCTTACACACACAGATTGATAAAAGTAAACATCATTGATAAAATATTTTATGCTATTTGGCTTTGATATGCTTTATTGGAAATTGGTTCAGGAATATGTATTAAAAATAATTAATTTCTTTCATTAGATGAAACCCTCAGTATGGAAAACAAGAAGAAATAATGATCATCAAAAACAACTATACTGGCTATACAAACATATAATTTCAAATGTTTTCAATTAAATCAACATAAGGAAAATGTAAACAATGACTTTCTTACAGTTAAGAGTCTGATTAAGCCAACATCAGGACTCTTTTTTGGGTGGCTGTAGCAAAAATTCATCAAATTCAAGAATAAATTTCTCATTAATTTCTTCCAATAAAAGACAGTTTAAGAAATGATTTAATATCTTTTATAATTTGTTTTTTTTTTCTTCAGGTGAAAGAACTTGTTCGTCATACAGAATGTTCACTTGGTTCAATTGATGTTCTTGTCAACAGTGCAGGGGTTATGTATTATACACTAATGAAGAATCTAAAAGAAAATGAATGGGAACAAATGATTGACATCAACTGCAAAGTAGGACACATTTGATATCTAATGATTTTAGCCTGCTGTGAAGAATTGTAAAAAATTTAATATTCAAAATATCTATATTTTTATATATTGAATTAAAATTAAACAAGTTTCTTTTGAAATTTATATATTCTATGAAGGTACAAATAACTGAAATGCTCCCACTGTGACAAAATATTTCAGTATATCTTTTATTTATGCATTGTAATCAGAAAAAAAATTAAAAAATCCTATTTTTGTTTCATGAAGTTTCTGTGAACTCAATCTCTTGCCAAAACATTGATTTGAAGGTTTCTGATATAAACTGTTGGTTGAAATTCCTATCTACTAAATATAAAATACATTTACTATATGGAAATTAGTACATACATACTGTGTGGTGAAGGCAGAAACCAAAATAAAGAAGCATAAAATTTTTATTGAATCATTATATATATTTTTTAATAATCAGTTGCTTCTGTGACGAATGCAAGCCCACACATATATGTTATTCCCCACTCTCACAGCAGAACCCAAAGTAGACACGCATAGAAACACGTGTAGGCGAAGTCTAAAAATAGATTCAGATCCAGTAAGATAGCTTATAAAAGAAACAACCCGATTGGTCAACAGCAGCCAATCAGCAGTCGAGAAAATTAGGCGCCAAAAAGGAGACGCGCACGTGGAGAGTGGAAAGAAAGCAGTTTTATCGGAGAGACCAGCGGACAATAAATCACGCCAACGTCTGTCCCAGGTCGCACGCTGAGACAACACATTCCCAGAGGCAGAGAAGCAGACCAGCCACTCAATATATATATATATATATATATATATACATGCTCTTGTTAATTAAATATTATATTGTTCACTATGTTGTTTCGTTCATTTATGGTCGCTGGTCGGTTGAATGTGTTATTCCAAGAACTTGGGGAAGCCTAGTTCGATTAGACCATAATTGAGTTGGACTTCGCTTACTTTCTTTTCTTTTTATATTATCTGTTGATGATTTAATGATGTAAGGGAAATAACCCTAATATTTATTCAGTGGTCCCATAATGGAAGGTTATTCGGGGAATATAAGATAAAAACGAATCATCGTGCAGAATACATGGATCTGTTGCAGACCCGGTAGCGTGCAGTGCTGGTTTATTAAAAAAGGTGGCCTTGTGCCAGACACTAAACTACCGAGACCACAAAGTATAAAAATATTGCGTGAGTGAACAGTAGAGAAGGAAAAGGGGTCATTCAACAAGTGCATAAATTATAAATATCAAAAAGATAGCCTAAATAGAATGACAAAGGCATCTGGTTGAAAAACATATATGAAATTTTTATTAAATTGAAAACAAGTAGGTTGTCTCGTCATTCGAGATCAGAGAAAATGTTCCGCGCCAAAACAGGAAAGCAAGATGAACAAGGCAGGAAACGGTTTCATCCGAATGAAAGAAGGTTCTGGAAAAAGGACTCGTTACACGAGGTGTAGGTGTGCACAGATAAAAAGAGTACTCACTGTGGATTTTGGCATTGTGAGTGTGTGTGATTTTTTTAGGTTCAGGTTCAAAGTAGTTAGAAAGTTCAGTCATCTCAGAGTTTTTTGGTCGGGCATTGAATTAACTACTGAAAATTTTATCGGATTGATGTGGATGTCTAACCAAAAGGATGAAGAATTATTTGCAGTTGGTTGCATCGTCTATATGGGTTAAGGGCACGGAATAAATGAGTTGCCCGTCTAGTTAGGTCGAAAGTCGGGAAGCAACTGGTTAGGAACACTGGCGTTCGTGATGTCACGAAAACGTGCGGGAAAAAATTCAAATTCTGTTAGGCTGACTTTATCAGCAGGAGCTATAGTAAGCGACCTTCCTTCCTCCAGATTACTGCTACGTCTAGCTGTAAGAGAGAGGAAGGGGTGCAAACCGCACGCACACACGCACGAGTGTGGAAGGAAGGGAGGAAAACTCGCGCGTGCGTAAAATGTAGATGGAATTACTGTGTTATTCCATAGATCTTAGCCTGGGATGGTTGTATCCCCCATCACCATATTAGTGCCAGACGAGGATCTATGACACTTTAGTGATGACAAAGAACAGTACATGAAAAACTGTGTTTCAGTACTGAATAAAATCTATTTGATATAAAGTTACTTCTAAAAAGATAAATAAACATTATTATTTTATTCAGATTTAATATTTATTTGTTATATATGGTGGAAATATGCTCAAGAAAAATGAATTTTACAATGCCTTCAGGAGTTTGGGGATCATATGATTTCAAAAAGCAGCTATTTAAGTGAGAAGTTAAAACAGATCAGTGTCAAATGATATTGAAATTGAGAATTCTATTTTCAACTATGAACTGTATTATTGTACAATTCACTAATGAAAGTGTTATGATGATCAAACTTAGTAGCTGTAGATGTTCCTATGTACACTAACTCAAAGTTGCCCGTGAGCTATAGTTATAGTTCTCTTTATGCTAATTACCTATTAACTAAACCAATCCCATTACATCTTCCTGAATTTTTTGGTTTTCACACCCTGTATGGATCAATGGCTTCTCCTACACCCACCCCCATCTGACTGGTTTCATGAGTATTTCTCATTAGGGGAGATCTTGATCTAGTTCTTTTATTCTCAGTGTCTCATGTTTCATATTTCAAGTCTTCCAAAGAACTTTAATTGTCCATTGATTCCTCTGCCCTGCTTTCTTGTTCATCTACATAGTCATTTGAACTAACTTCACTTTTTACTTCCTCATAATTTTGGCTAGCTCTTAACTGGTCTGCATGGGCAACAATATTTTTATCATTCTTGCATGTTAATGCTGTTTTGTATCCTTTTTGCATTATGAAATTTGTCTTTTCTGGCTTGTTTTCTTTATTTCTTTTGTACCATATGTTTTCATTAATAGAGTAAGATATCTAATGTTTTTGGAACTATATTTCTAGCAAATATTATGTGTAATATTTGTTTTACAGTAATAGATTTTTTATCCTGAACTCAGAAGCCTTCATGCCTTCTTCCACAATTTTTTGCAGTTTATCAACTACTATTGACTTTGTATGGCTTTTAAAATATGATGGATTGGTATTTCTTTCCATCCTTCAGGTTTTGGTCATCTCGTAACTTCTTTATTCTGGCATATATGCCTCAAAGCATTTTATCCAAATTTTTACATTTTCTGGTTATTCTGTGTTTAGGAGAGCTCTGCCAGGTGATGCCATTTTGTTATGATGATCAAACTTATTAGCCATACGTGTTCTACATACACTGACTCAAAGTTTCCCATGAGCTATAGTTATAGCTCTCTTTATGCTAATTACCTATTAGCTAAACCAATCCCATTACAGAAAGAAAAGAAACTGCTATATATTATTCAAGTTGATCTTGGCAATCAGAGATGTACTTAATGTGATAAAACAGGGATTGAAAAAAAGTCTCCATTTTAAGATAGCAGATATGGCAGAGTATATTGAAAAATCAACCCAGGAATGACAGTATGCTATTTTTATCAAAGAAAGAATAGCAATAAAAAAATACTTATTAAACCAGTTAATATTCAGTAATGAAATTAATAGTCAGACTTTTGGCATTTTGGTACACTGTCATCTTTTCAAATGAATCCTCTGTTATTTATTTTTCTGAACATCCAACAAGTATGGGTTTAGATATCACAGAGTCAAGAAGCCAGGAAGCAGTCCACAATCACATATGGTGGATTTTTATTATGATTTGTGAACAAGAAAAAAAAATACCCATTCTAGAGGAAAGACATATTTCAATATTCACTGATAGTTGTTATTTGGACAAAAATAGTTCCTTTTTTTTTTTTTTTTTTATAGAGGATTGAGCTCAATGCTACATAGCTAAAGAAAAAATAAAAAAAAAGAAAGAATAATAGGTCCATTAAAGTAATTCAGTGATTTTCATAATATGAATCCTATTGAATATGTCTTGACTATTTTAAATCTGGACAAATTTCCACAAAAGAAATTTTGTTTCGTTAAGTATTCCACAATTTAGATACATTCTGCATTTGAAAAACTAAAAAAATATATTAAATCTGTGAATAGCAAGTGTACTGAATTTTAATCATAAAAATATCCCTAAATTGTTTGGTTTCTTGAATTTTTTGAAGAGAGAGGTGTCTTTAATTTTGTCAATTCTCAGTATGTCTCCAATTTTTTCTGTATCATGCTATAATGAAAGAATTCAATAACAAGTTACATTATTGCTTTTTAATTTTATGCTATGTCATAATTTGTCAGTCTCTTTAAATATTGCATGCCAGATATTATTGTAGGCAGATAAATTTATGATTTTAAAAAATTTTCAGATTTTTTTCTGATACTTTTCTACCATTGAAATCTTTTTTTACCAAGGAGTGGCTCTCTGATATTGAAAATTGTTGTAGACTAAAGTATATTTATTGTTTTTTTCTTTGTTTAATAAGTGGAAATTCCACAAGTTTACATAAAATTTTAATGTAAAATCTTGCATTATTTATAAATGATCTTATTTGTTTCATTTGTGTTTTCTCTTTATAGGGTGTGGTTAATTGCATTGGAGCTGTTCTTGATGGAATGATTAAAAAAGGATCTGGACATATTGTCAACATATCCTCTGATGCAGGAAGACAAGTGAGTAAATTCTATTATCAATTTGATTGTGCTAATTTCTTTATTTTTGTTGTATATTTGAACATTAATTTATTGTACCCATGACATTTGATGACATCTGATATTAAGCAAGATTAAAATAAATTAACTGGATTTAATGAGATATAAACAGAGATAAAAAGAAAGTGATTAATGTGTTCTAGATTCCATCTTAAATACAGAGATAAAAAGAAAGTAAATTAAGTTTCTTAGATATGGTATTATCAGATATATCTGAATTCATGTGAATTTTCTACTTCATTTCTGGAAAAATACAGTAAAGTGATTTTTGGATCAAGTCCACTATCAGTAATTTGTAAAATCAGTTTAATGCTGCTATTAGTGATTTGTTTGTGCTAATGATATGTGTCATGAAAAACTTACATTTTAAAATAGAAAAGTAACTTTTATTCTATGTTTCTTTATAGGGATTTGCTGGTCTGGCTGTGTACTCTGGAAGCAAGTTTTTTGTGGAAGGCTTGTCCCAAGCTCTAAGGCAAGAAGTAGTTTCCAGTGGAATTAAAGTTACATGTCTCCAACCAGGAGATGTAAAGACAGAACTCATTGGCCATACAACTGATCAAGAAGTAAGAATTTCAAAGTGTATATTATTATTTGATAATTTAATACAAGTTTTTTAATCACTATTTTGTTGTTTCAATTAGTAGTAAATATTGGTGTATTTTGTTCTAAGCCACACTCTCTCTCTTCATGAATACAAAACTAATTTTATGTTATTTTGAGGAATTTGATTTTGAAATTTATATTTTAAATGATTGTCCTGTTATTTTCAGAGAAAAGACAAGAAAATTTGATTTTAAATGATTACACTGTTGATTTCAAACAATTTGTATTTTTTTTATTTTAACAAAAAATATATCCTTTTATCTATGTCTTTGTAATTGATTACAAATAAGATATTTATTTTATATTTTTCTTTAAAATTATGATGCTCAGCACTGGTAAAGGTTATTGCTAGATATAGGCAAGTAAATCATATTTTTATTCATTTGCAGATTATCTCAATATTTTTGGATGTTTTCTTAATTCTTAATCTAAAGGATTAATTAATTAGTTTAAAGGATTTAAAATAAGGTTATTTTGATATCAAAGTGTTTGAATATGGCAATTTAAAGTCTAGTGTTTTTTTTAATTATATTAGAATATTTTTATCTATGAAAAGAATTTCAAATTCTTTTCATAGATAAAAAAATATTCCATCAAAATCTTGGAACAATGCTTCAGAACATGTAACAAGAAAAGCAGTCATTTAGAAATTTCATAACTAAAGACTGTCAACCTTGCAAATATAAATATTCAACTTGACATGACAGATCCAATATCTCTCTTTAAACTGGAAAAATTAGACTTGGACAGGTACAGCTGGAATTAGCATAAGAAATTGCTCATATAAAAAATTATTTTGTGTAAAAGAAAAAAGAAAAATAAACTGAAAGGAAGTAATACAGGAAAGAGCACACAGTGAGATTTATTCATGTGACTTAATCGGTAATTGCTTTCATATGAAGAAAATCTGGCTAGAACAGCAGGAATATGTATTCTATTCTTTTCAATTTCAGGCACAGAGATATTTAGTGTCATCATTAACCCTTTGAGCCCTGACCACTGCTTTTTACTCTCCTCTTGATTACTCTTCTTTTATTCTTGCTCTTATTGTGACACTATTTAGCTATGGTAACTGGCTAACTAATTAACCATAGAAATTAAAAAAACAGGAAATACTTAAGGTGAAAAAGAGCTATCCCAAAAGATAGACTGATTGATGTTAAAAAAAAGATTTTATTTTATTTACGAAAAACATACTTTTCACAACAGACAGTAAACCCATGGAAAAAGGTTTTGTCAGGTTGATTAATGTCTTGCCGAGGGAGATAGGAAGAAAGGCAAATATTAAGATATTGGTCAGACCATGGCAGTCATAAAAATTTCGACTTGAGATGATCACTGATACAGGCAGGGAGAATCAATGTTAATTATCTTTTCAAGATATCATTTTTTTTTTTTCTTGGCCACCGGCGAAGAGAGGAATGGCATCAATGTGGCAATTATAAAATTTTGGCATTTGTCTCAACATGTTGCTTCAGACACTGAAATGTTGAACAGCAATATGGTGTTTGTAAAATTTTGGCATGAGACAGAAAATAGAGTAGAGAATTGAGATTTGGCAAGATAAAAGAATTTAATTTCTCAACAAACCAATGAATTCATTATAAAGCTAACTTCACAAAGGGATCAGATGGCAAACTTTGACAGTGATTGATGGAATCGGTAAAGAGTGCTGGCTAATTGAATTCTGGGTGGCCAAAAGATATGATAGAAATTTAAGTGGCAATGTGGAATTCATAAAAATTTTGGCTGATGGGGGAAAAAAAGGAGAATTTTGTAAACAAAAATTCTGGATTATAATTTTAAGGAGGCCAGCTTAGCCACACCCGCAGGGCTGGAATGCCATTGGAGTGGTAGCAATAGTGATAGGCAGAGGTGAATGGATGAGAAGGATGGAGAAGTTATTAATGCCCACTGAAGGGATTGGTATGAGATATCAATGTGAGAGAGGAAGAGTCTAGGAGAATAGCTCTCCTCTGACCTTCCCTCACGGACAAGGAAGACCCCCTGTCCGGAAATAGAAAGTGATTAATTTTCCAAAAATGGGAAGTAATCAATTTTCCTTGTCTGACAACAAAGAGATTTCTTGTTGGGAATCGACATTTACCGAGAACCACAGGCAGCGTCTGGCCCCACACCGGGTTTTGGTTGGTACCAATATAAACGAATGTCCTCAGTTCATTGAGTTAGTTGGAGTTCTGAGTCGAGACAGTCAGAGAGAGAGTCAAGTCAGTTTGAGTAGTGGGAACTAGTGTTGCCTCGCAAACGCTGACCGAGAGATTCCACAAACTCTGACTTCACCCATCCTACTAATAGCAAGTTATACTGACGAATGAAGTCAAGCCAGCTCCTAAGAACTAAATCAGTTGACTTAAGATACCAAAACTTGCTTGAAACGTAGAAGTGTCACATTTTGTAGAAAATGGGCTGGGAGAGAAAACACACTCCTGTATATAAATAGAAGGATAAAGTTAATTTGTTATTTCTTAACATACTTGAACCTCTTGGGTTTTTTTTTTATTTATTTTTTTTCCTTTTTGTGCTTGTGCGATACCACCTTCAGTTCTGGATTCAGTTTACACTACGGCCCGAAGCCTGATTGATCTTGTCTACCTAAAATCAAAGTCACAACATGGGTAGGTTAGACTTGAGATCAAAGCAGTTACTCCAGTAACCAGATGTTGCAAGTGAGCTGGGAACGATAAAGCTGGTATTGAATCGGTACAGCTGGTGAAGCTGTTAACATCGATGACCAGAATTCGACCCTGGACTGGTGTCCCATATTGGTATCCTGACCAGGGATTTTGCCAAGTAGCGATGACCACCGATTGACCGGGACACAGGCTGGTGGCGGTGACAAAAAGTCAACCCCAAAACGCCGGTAGAAGAAACATTACAGCTTTGCGTCATAACTGGGAGTTGACCATGGGCTGACTGCTGGGTGTCACATATTGGTGCTGTGACCACCGGATTCAACCCTAAACTAACCACTGCCACAGGAGTTGTGGAGAATTTCACCCAGGACAACGCACGGCATCTAAGTAGACAAACAGAAATAGGCTAGAATGGGAACCAAAAGACTTTGGTTAATTATAACCATGGAGTTCCAGACCCTCTAGTTCGACAGCCGGAAGCAGAGAAGAACAACCTAGAAATCGTCTGTCAGGTGAGACACTTTTTTTCGGTTAATCTCCCAATAATATTTCGATTGTTGCTGCTCTATTGATTTGTTTTTTTTGTTTTGAATTGTTCAAATATGTCTGACCATGATTCGGATAGGGTAGACATAGAGAAAGACGGGGTTGAGCAGTGGTTGCCATTAGATCTGAGGAAATTATTGGGCGGACCTAAGGTTCCAGCCTTTGATGGTAATTTGAAAAATTTTAGAGATTGATTGGCAATTCTGGATAATAGCTGCATAATCAATGGACTCTCAGACCAAGAAACCCTGTATTTGGCGTATGACGCCACGAGAGAGAAAGCGTTGAAGTTCGTAAAGGGGCTCTTAGCCAGTGAACCCCACTTATCATGGGAAAGGCTAGAGGTATTACTGACTCAGGAGTTCGCTGATGAGGGGACAGCAATAGAGGCCATGAGAGCCCTCCTGATGATGGCGCAGCTGAAAGATGAAACCCCTGGAGAATTAGGAACCTGAGCAGAGAAGCTGTCTTTGTTAGCTTTCCCAGAGGAAGTAAGACACAACGCAGTAATGCAGGCCCAGTTGGCCGATTTATATATAGAGGCGCTCAGTGACGAGCATATTCGCCATGACATAATGAAGGAAGGACCGCTAAGGTTGTCGGTGGCAGTGGCGCTGGCTAAAGAGAGCCAGGGAATTTGGGAGAAAGTAAGAGGAGGTAGGAAGGTGCAAGAGCAAAGTCGGGAGGTAGGAAGAAAGGGGGAAGGGAAGAGAGCCCCCGTGTGGAATTGAAGGGTCAAGCAGGAGGTAGAGGAGCCTGAGGTGTGGGAAGAGGATCCCAAAAGAAAGGCTTGGTCGACAAGGCATGGGTTTTATAAGCCCACACCGGGTTGATATAGGCAGGTCTGCTGGACATGTGGGTATGAGGACCACAGAGCAGCGGACTGCCTGACAAAGTGGGGATTGCCCCCAGACTTTGATCAGGACAGATGTACTAGGTGTGGGAAGAAAGGACACCTAGCTAAGTGGTGCGGGATAAGGAAAGGTGCCCCACCAATATTATTAAAGAAGGCTGCACCTGAAAGACAGGACCAGGGAAAAGCCAGCAGGCCACCCCAAAATAAGAGGGAGGGTGGCCCAGTTAAAAAAGAAGGGCATGAAATGTTGGGCATGTGGCCAGGAGAGCCACTTTGTGGGCAGGGCAGAAATTAACTGCCCCAACAAGAAGGTGCTTTGGTTTTGTGGAAGACCAGGGCACCTGAAGAGGAATTGTGCTTTCAGAAATGGCAGAAAGAGACTGGGAAGGGTCCAGCCGGAACCACCCAGGCAGAGAAAACAAAGAACTCCCCTATGTGAGAAATTGTTGCTGCCAGTACCTATGGCTGGGATAACACAGAGATGGGAACCTAGGAGAAGGAAGGCCAAGGTGTTCTCTTCGCTAACGCAAGAGAAGGAGTTGTCTTGTAAGGCAAAAATAGGGAGTATGGCAGTGAAAGCTCTGATAGACACAGGAGCGTCTGTTTCATTGCTGAGGGAGAGAGAATACAGGCGGGTAAAACTGAAAGATGGGATACGAAAAGTGGACATAGAGATTACACAGGTGGATGGTGCCCCCCTGGAGATAAAAGGGATGGCGAGGCTTCCTGTAAGAATTGGAAAATTGAAAACCCAGAACTTCTACATAACACCCAGTCTGTGTACAGAGGCAATCTTGGGAGAAGATTGGCTTCAGAGCCAGAGGGCTCGTACAGAGTTTAACCCTACTGTGTTGGGTAAATGGTGAGAGAATGCCATTGGGAGATCCACCAGAAGAAGTTATAA